GCAGACCATGGAGAAGGTCACTGGACAACAATCAAAATAATCCTCAAGTACTTGAGAAGGACTAAGGATATATTTCTGGTTTATGGTGGATTTAATGAGCTAGCAGTGAAAGGGTTCACTGATGCTAGCTTCTAAATTGACAAAGATGATTGTAAATCATAATCAAGGTTCGTATTCACCTTAAATGGTAGAGTAGTGACTTGGAAAAGTTCCAAACAGGAGATTACAACAGATTCAATGACAGAGGCTGAATATATAACGGCTTCAGAAGTAACTAAGGAGGCAGTGTGGATCAAGAAGTTCATCACTGAACTTGGGGTGGTTCCAAGCGTTAGTGAGCCCATACAGTTGTATTGTGACAACAATGGTGCTATTGCGCAGGCAAAAGAACCCAGGTCTCATCAAAGATCAAAACACGTGCTCCGCAGATATCACCTGATTAGAGAAATCAGTGATAGGATGGATGTAAAGATGGACTATGTTCCCACAGATGACAACCTAGCCGATTCTCTGACAAAAGTAGTTTCTCAAAGAAAACATGATAGTCATTATGAGGCTTTAGGATATATATTTCGGTCATATAGGTTCTAGGCCAAGTGGGAGATTGTTAGTGCATAGGTGTCATAGAAACAATATGAGTGTCAGATGTACCCATGTACTTCTTTATTGTTGTGAATAAATTTTATGAATAAAAGCATTTTTTTATCTTGTTTCATATTGCATGTCTCAAATATTGAATATGAGTAACTGGATAAAGCCCTTGGAATGGAACGAGTGTCACATTGAGGATCTGTGATAGGGATCACGATCATGAGGGCTCAATAACACCACACGCCCATTGCCAAAAATATGTTCCTAGTTCAGAGATACCGATAATGGGTATTGTTGATCTCGGGTAAGACTAGCACGACCTAGATACTTGCATGGAGATGCAAGGTAGAGTCCTCGTGAGCTACATACATGGAGATGTCTTAGATGACTCGTGGGCGGACCTATTGGAGAATAGCTCGCACTGAATTGACCCATAAAGAGACATTACAAGGAAATCTCACAGATAGTATCAATAGGTAATATCTCTTATTATTTGGGAGTGTCTTTCCATAAACCAGACGTTGGCATATAAACCTGTGCTTTGGAAGGCTTGCTTTGATTGTATACCTTGTCTTCCTGATACATGGAGACTCGTAGGTATACTCTTGGGCATGCCCTCAAGACTCAGGGCTAGTGTGACAAGTTGAAGGAATTCGTCAATCTCTGTGAGGTATTAGGTTATTCGTAGACTAGTAAAATCGAGATGACATTTACAAGACTCGGGAATCTATGCATAGTAAAGGAGTCATGAGATGGCCCGCTCATTAAAGTGCGTAAATGAATATTCCCTGTTTCGGCAAAAGCTAATCCTAGACCGCAAGGCTTGATACGTTTTCCTTGACCTAGGTTAATGGGACGGATAACCGAGACGAAGAACAATTCACACGGTAACCAAATATGTATAACAGGTTGATCATTCAATGAACTCAACTAGATCTAGGACAACAAAGCATTGTTAGTGCTCTGTGTTGTCATTAGATGAATTGGGCTTAATGAGCCCAAGCCCATTTATGTCAGTGGCTATATTGGGCCTGATTGGTCGCAGACAAACACCTTAAGTTGTCTTGAATTCTAGCATATGTGATTTGGGCCCAATAAGGCATAACAGGCGTAAGTTGGAAAAGCCCACATATTGGGCCAAGAGAGACAGTAGGTGACATCATGGGTCAAGTTGGACTTAATCCATGATATAACCTAATTAATTTAAATGTTAAATTAATAAAATTAATTTGAATTTTATTTTTGAATTTTAAAAATAATTTGAATTCTAATTTCAAATTTTGAATTTGAATTTTGAATTTAAATAAATATAAATTAAATTCTTATTTTGAATTTTGAATTTAAAATTTGAATTTAAATATAGTCATTAAATTGGATTTAATGAAGATGGAGAAAATAAAGGAAACCAATCAATTAGATTGATTGGATAAAATTAAGGAAATCAATTAATTAAATTAATTGGTTGAAATTTGGGAAACCAATCAATTGTTGATTGGATAAAATTAAGGAAATTAATTAATTAAATTAATTGGCTGAAATATGGGAAACCAATCAATTGGATTGATTGTATAAAATTAAGAAAATTACCGAATAAGATTGGGATTTGATGAGGGCGCTGATTTGATCTAGTCTTAGGTTAATAAGGCACCACACATATATAGCCCCTCTTCTTACTTAATTTTTCTAACTCTTCTTCTCTAATTTTCTCCACTGAAACCTTAGTTAACACACACATCAGTGTGGCGGCTATCTCTCTCTTGCAATAACCACAGGCACCACCCAGTCTATGTTCTTCTCTTGAGTCTAGCAACTTTCATTGAAGGATATTGGGCAGTCGAGGAAGCGTTCTTCTCTTACAAGACAATAAGGTGTTGTGGATTTCCATCATAGGACTTGTGTTCTTCAAGTCTGAAGAATTGATCAAGAACGCATTTGACCATGAAAAGTTATCCGAGTAAAGGCATCAACTTTAAACCCCTAACATGTCTAGTGCATGATTCATGGGTTGCACATGATTGAGGGTGGGGAATGGTTGCTTCTTCTACATAAAAATTTTAAGTATTCACTCTTTTATGTTCATGGCCTACAAAAGGATACTTTCAGTTCCTGTCCGCAAAGATGAGCCTGTTTGCTCGAGGAGGAACTCGGATGAGCTTTCCTTTTTCTTTTTCTACCGAGTCCTTGTTACCTAACTCAACATTCGATTTCCTTTAACCGAGTTTCAAATTTGTGTCTTGAATCATCTTCATATAGCCCCTTCTCAACTTCACCCCAATGGTTGGGGTTTTCTTAAAGCATTTGAACACTTTTGTGCTTACCTTACTTTACCTTGCACAATTTCTGTCTTCTTTTTATTTTTTCAGGCCATTACACCTCATACTGGCTGTGAACCACCAAAGAGGATGGGTTGGGTCACTATTCAGGGTTACCCTTCACAAAAACTTTTTAATGTTTACTCTGATTCTTTCAAGAACTTTAAAGAAACGTTCTTTAAAGTTGCTACGCAACCCGGAAAAGAACCCTGGTTCCTTTGATCTTCTGATTCAGAGGATGTAGAAGGGAAACCGAGTTAACTGATGATGAGTTTGATACGGTTATCTCCAAGGCCGCATATGTCCAATCGCTTGGTCATGTTAGTGTCGCCTCATTTATTTTCAAATCTCATGAGGAACTTGACTTAGAATTGAGTATGCTTTTTTTTACTTACTCATTTATGCATTTTTGTGATATGATGTCTGATTCTAACACGGTTCTGTGTTTATCATTTGCAGTTCCAAACATGAAGGGCCAACAGGATGAGCAACCGAGTTTTTTGGCCACTTTGAACCGAGGTAAGAAGGCCGCAGTTGTCGACTTGACAACCTGGAAAAGAAAAACTCCTGAGCTCAGGTCCAAGAAGCTGGCTACCGGGGAGAAAGGAAAGGGGACTCCAGCTGAGAAGGGTACCCCTGCTCCCATTCGAGTTTTGGCTACTCCTCCTTCTCCTCCTGCTACTGGCCTTTCAAAGAATGCTCTTTGGCAGTCCGGGATCAATAATGACTTCCGTGATGTCATTTGTCTACCTGATCATTTCTTTAATTCTACTCCTTCTTCTCCTTCTGAGATGAAGGAGTTAGAAAACATTGAGTTAAATTGTATGAAAATGGCTTCTTTCGCCAGGCCCTTATTGTCTTTGAAAAATAAATATGTTCAGACTTTGACCGAGATGAATGCAGCCAGAGAGGAGAATGGCAAAACTCACGTTGAGCTTTTGAAGGTAAAGGAGGACTTGAGAACTCTCCAATTTGAAAATGATTCTCTTCAACTTCTGCATGTCAGTAATGTTCATTCCATGAAGGATTTTAAAATCATGTTTGAACGTACTAATGGTAAGCTGAAAGAAGCTGAGATCGATGCTCGATTTTATCAAGGCGAGTTGGAGAAGTCGGTATTGGGTTCTTTCAACAATGCTGTTAGTCAAATTAAAGTTCTCAATCCTAGTCTCGAGTTTAACACTACCAGCTTGCATCACAAAGCTTATGTTAGCAATGGTCAAATTGTTTCTCCCTTCCAGAATCTTCTGCAGGTGATTCAGCAACCCAGGTTGAAGGTGACCGAGTTGAAGGAGAAGAGGAAGTTACTACCCCGGATGCTGCCGAAGTTGGTGACGTACAAATCGGTCATGTTGAGACTCCAGAATGAAGGGCCGGGATGCCGGTTTAATTTGTAATCATTCTTTTCTCAGGGCTTTTGAGCCGCGTTTTGATTTGTAATGATATTTCCGGGTTTCCACCCAGTCTTTTGCTTTTAATATTTTTGACTCATTTTGAATTTATCAACTTTGTGCCTTTGACAACTTCATCTTTATAATGAGGTTTTGCATATTTACTGAGTGAGTGAATGAATGAAGAAAATGAAGAACCGTGGAAACATATAAGTGATTCGGCGCTAAAACGTTGAAAAAAAATGTTTTAGCGCCCTGTTCCAGAAAATGTGCACATAGTTGTGTGCATCAACGCGCTAAAACGGTCAACCAGGACGTTGTAGCGCGCTGGACCAGAGTGCTTACATTATGATGCGTTAGGGGAACGTTAAAACTTAAAACGGTCAAGTAGAACGTTTTAGCGCTCTGGGCCAGAGTTTTGCATTGTGATGCATCTCTAGATCGCTAAAACGTCCAAAATGGAAGTTTTAGCGCCAGCACTTGTCAATTTTTTTCAAAATTTTCTAAAACTTTTTTTTTTATAATATTATTAATATTAATTATCACATACCTGATATAGTGGGTTTCCTCCCACTCAGTGCGTGTTTAACGTCACGAGCCTGACGGTCCTTACTCAACTTACCTCCATCAGAGCAACTGTAAGAAGTTGTCTGTCCACAACACTTCCAATGTACAACTTTAATCTCTGACCGTTGACAGTGAAGCTTCAGTCAGAATCCAAAGGACAAATTTCCACTGCTCCATAAGACTTCATATCCTTCACCACAAATGGTCCAGACCATCTGGACTTTAACTTCGCAGGAAATAACTTCAACCTGGAATTGAACAGCAGAACTTGATTACCCTCCTTGAAATCCCTGGGTGTTATCTTCCTGTCATGCCATAGCTTGGTCTTTTCCTTATATAAGCTTGCACTTTCATATGCAGTAAGACGAAATTCATCCAGTTCATCCAATTGAAGTAGCCTCTTCTCACCTACTGCTTTTGAATCAAAGTTTAAAAACTTAACAGCCCATAATGCTCTATGCTCCAATCCCACCGGCAAATGACATGCTTTCCCAAATAACAACTGAAATGGAGACATTCCAATAGGAGTCTTAAATATTGTACGGTATGCCCACAAAATGTCATCAAGTTTCTTGGACCATTGAGTCCTGGCATTCCCAACAGTCTTTTCCAGTATTCGCTTAAGTTCTCTGTTAGAAATTTCAACCTGAACACAAGTCTGTGGGTGATACAGGCAGGGTACTTATCTTATGCCTGACTCCGTATTTTGCAAGAAAAACTTCTACCAACCGGTTGTCAAAATGTGTTCCCCCATCAATGATTATGGCTCTCGGGTGTAACATCCCAGTCTCGAGCCGGTTCAATTAACATACATATGATAAAAACAGAAACAACGGAAGACTTAACTTACGAAAATACGAGCTAACTTTTTCCTTTTTCTACTTTAATTCTTACTCGTCGTAAACGAAAATCGGGCAGAGTTTCCTCTATAAAGCGAACAACTGGGGATTTTCCAATCCCACTCAGAAGCATTTCCTGATAACAGTTTATACCACATATCAATTCAGAAATACCCGACATCCAAATATAATCACATACTCATCCATGGGCGCATGCATAACATGGCTCCGTGCCACTATATCTAACAGCATGCAATCCAAAACGTTAACATATCTGAATACTACATCATCATATAATGTGCCTGAATACTCAAATGTACATGCATCAAACTGACAGACATGTACAAAACATATACAGGCCATATACAAAATAAAGGATCTAACATCATGATCCACAAAATACTGAAATACTAAATAGAAGCACTATACTCCAAAATAGAAGTAGCCTACGGCTACTCAAAACCCAATCCGTCCAAAATCCTCAGCCACAGGCACCTGAAAATATGGCTCCAACGAGGGGTGAGAATACAAATCTCAATAAGCTCCAGGTTTATAGAGAATTCTCCATACCCCTGGCTCACTCCTGCATGAAAGTCAGATACAGAGTATACGAATACAACATATAACAGATATCATAACAGAACAGAGCATATATCCATATCATATCAGAGATGTGCGCCGTCATTCCCAAGGGAGGACCCCAAGCGGAAATCAAGGCATGTGTTCCTGAGGGAGGACCCCAAAGCGGAAATCAGGGTACTATACAATCAATGGCCATAGATTATTACAAAAATCATCTTACAGAAGTCATATCAGAACAAAACATATCATGTTATCAAATAGCTCTATATGAATGTATCTATACAAAGCATCAAAACAGTCATACAATCCAACCACAGTTCACTAACTATGGTGGAGCACTCAAGTAGGAAAAGACTCCTTAAACATAGAGCTTACGTCTTGAAGCTTTACCAATACGCTTACTTGTTGCACAAGTTACTTATATGTCTTCAAGAGATTCTGATCCTTTTTAGTCCCTAGGTACACCTAGAGCAAGAATCCACAAATACAAATCAATAAAATGCTATCATGCCTAGACTTTCCATAAGGCATACATTTTATCGCTTATCTTCCTTTCTTTATATTTTTGCCAATGCTATCCTAATACACAAGTCTAGGCCATTTCACTTCATATTCTTATTAATCTCATGTGTTGAACTCAACCCTTAACAAAATACATCATAATTTCATCATCCTTATTTTCACCCTATAAGGCCAAAACCCCTAAAGAGGAAACCAAGGTTTTTATTTTATTTTATTTCATTTCTTTCACTTAATTTAATAACTCCACATACATAATTATATCTCTACCAAATTCCAATTAAATTTTTGGAATCTCAAACCCTCCAAATCCTTCAAGGTCGAAACATCAAGGGTATGTTTCAAAGGATTTTCTTTCTAATTTAACATTCTTACTAACTCATCATTTTTCCACTTGTTGCAACACCTCACACCTTCCAAATACCCAATTTAAACTTTGCACATCAACCCCCTCTAAATCCTCTCATGGCCGAACATAAAGGGACATACAAAAGGGGATTTTTTTCATTTAACACATGTAACAATACTTATTTCACATGTATATATATCAAACATCAAAACTCTATCATCACTTTACCTTTTAAACTAATTCTTTTCCCAACCAACACATACTTACAATTTTTATGGCTCATAAAATCAAAATAGTGCCATGAAAATAGAGTTTTATTACCTCCAATAGCTTGCACAAAGTCTAGGGAGCCATTTCCAAGCAAAACTCCTCTAAAAATACACTTTCTCCTCCTTGATGAATAGTGACACGAAACTGGAGGGTGGAAGAACTCCTCACACACTCAACTATAGCTCAAACTAATAGGTGGAATGGATTCATTGAGTGGTTTCCAATCAATTTTATGTGGTGGGTCATTGGATTTGGTGGAATATTCAAGAAGAAATCAAAGAAGGAAATCAAGCCCTAAACCCCCTTTCCATGATGCACTCCTCGGTTTGCAAGAGAGAGAAAGGAGCTTTAGTTGTGTGAATAGTGATTCACTTGGATGACAAAGCTTTATAGACTCATGTGACTTTTTAACAGATGTTTTTCTTTCGCGTATTTTTACTTAAACTGACTCGAAACTAACTCAACGCTACAAACATATTTTTTATTTTTCTAAAATCATTTACATTAATTTTTATTTCCTAAGGAACAATATTCATAATTCACAGTATGGTTTCTGCACCGTTTTTGACGAAATGCACTGTGAACCACTAACTGTACTTTATGTATTTTTGAAACTTAACACTTATAAACTTATCATTTTCTTGGGCCTATATCGACTTGCTTGGCATATATTGGAATTTCTAATTCTTACTTCATCAATTATTTATTTCTGGACTCTACCGGTTGCTTAAACAGCGGTAGAAAACACTATTCACGAGATTTTCACGGAAAGTGCCAGACTATACAATTTTTCGTTCTGAACTCATATATGGAATCAGAATTGTCAAATTATGTCTCAAAAATCATTTTTCTTATTTAAGCTCTACCGTTTAATTCGCAAGACTGCGAATTCTTCGACAGAACGCACTGTTCATAACATAGTCATGATTACAGTCAAAATACTCGGAATCACTCACTAAATCTAATTATGGCATTTAAATCCTTAAATTAAATCTCTAATTAAGATTTACCATTTTGGGTCATTATATTCACCCCACCTTTTAAGGATTTTGCCCACAAAATCAAATATCAAAAATAACACATACCTGACGTCAAACTCAGGGTACTGCTGGAGAATTTCGTTCTCCCGCTCCCAAGTAGCGTCCCCAGGAGTCAATCCTTCCCATTGCACTTTGATCATGGGAATAATCCTGTTTCTCAATACTTTTTCATCACGTGCTAGGACCTTCAACGGTCCCACAACAAACTTCAAGTCTTTTTGTTACTTCGATATTGTCCGGCTGTACTATGTGGGATGCACCCGGCACATATTTTCGAAGTTGACTGATGTGAAAAACACTATGCAGATTTGATAGATGTGGATGTAAAGCAAGCTGATATGTCACAGGTCCGACCCTTTTTATAATCTGGTAGGGCCCAATGAACCTAGGACTCAACTTCCTCACTCCTAGAGCACGCCCAACACACGTAGTCGGAGACAAATGGATAAATACATGATCCCCTTCAGAAAATTCAAGGGGTCGGTGATTTGCATCATAATAACTCTTTTGGCGGCTCTGTGCTTTCTTCAATCGATCCTTAATCATCATAATTTGATCGGTAGTCTCTTGGACCATATCAGGCCCAAATAACTGCCTCTCACCAATTTCTGACCAACACGTAGGCGCCCTGCACCTACGGCCATACAAAGCTTCATAGGGAGCCATGCCCAAACTGGCATGATAACTATTATTATAGAAAAATTCCACCAAAGGAAGATACTTATCCCATGCATTTCCCTGCTCTAAGGCACAAGCCCTCAACAAGTCCTCCAGGGTCTGAATAGTCCTCTCAGTCTGACCATCAGTCTGGGGATGATAAGCCGTACTCAGCCTCAGCTGCGTACCGAATGCCTGTTGCACTGCATCCCAAAGTCGAGAAGTAAATTTAGGGTCCCGATCACTAATGATACTTTTAGGAACACCATGCAATTTCACTATCTCCCTTACATATAATCGAGCCAGCTGCTCTGTAGAGAAACTCGTTTTGACTGGTATGAAATGTGCAGACTTTGTCAATCTGTCAACAACTACCCAGATAGAATCAAAACCAGCCTGAGTTCTCGGTAATGCTACTACAAAATCCATAGAAATACTGACCCATTTCCATTCCGGAATATCCAAGGGCTGCAATAATCCAGAAGGTCTCTGATGCTCAATCTTAACTTTCTGACATGTCAAACACTTACTCACAAACAGAGCAATATCTTTCTTCATTCCCGACCACCAGAAGTTTCGTTTCAAGTCTTGGTACATCTTGGTAGCAGCAGGATGGATAGTGTACTTACCCATATGGCCCTCAGCCAATACCTCATCTACCATTTGACCTTTCGGAACAATGATCCGATCCTTGTAAAACTTAAGACCGAACCTATCCATTGACACAAAGTCCTGCTCTTTCATAGACTGAATCTCTTCATCAAGCAATTGAGCTTCTTTAATTCGCTCAACTAATGAGTTCAGGACTACCGTAGTAGTCAATAAACGTGGACTATCTTCTGTATTCACAAGAATGCGGAGATCCTTGAACTTCTCAATCAGATTATACTCAGAAATCATTAAATTGGCATACCAAGCGCCTTTCTGCTTAAAGCATCTGCTACTACATTGGCCTTACCAGGGTGATATTGCAATTCAAAATCATAATCCTTCAGGAATTCCACCCATCGGCGTTGCCTCATATTCAGCTCTTTCTGATCAAACAGATATTTCAAACTTTTGTTGTCACTGTAGACAATGAAATCGGCTCCGTATAGAAAGTGTCGCCAGATTTTCAATGCGAACCCTATGGCTGCCAACTCCAGATCGTGTGTCGGATAGTTCTCCTTATGCGGTTTTAACTGCCGAGAAGCATAAGCAACCACCTGACAAAACTGCATTAAAACACAGCCCAACCTAAACTTAGAAGCATGACAATACA